ATAAGTAGCAGTCCTTCACTCGCCTGAAATTGATGCAATCTTTCACTTCCTTAAATGTAACACAAACGATCTATTTATTGTTTGCTACAAACAAGATTCTCCTCGCCCGAAATTCACACGAATTTTGTATATATACACTCAAAGTCGTTTAAAGTGATACTCTAACAATACTATTGCTCAACTCGAATCAACGAGAACCTTATTTTATATACTCAAAAGCACATACGGGCTGTTACTATGGCAACCACCGATACATAGCCACACTTCCCAGTCAATCCCTTTACACCTAAATGCACATACCACACCACCCGTGCCATAGACACCACTGATAAATGGGTGCGAATTCGGCAGATAGCCCAAATACAGCCCCAATTGATTCAGGTTCTTGCGGGCGAAATCCCTTAGATCTGCCATTATAATCAGGTATTGTTTGATCTCATCTTCGTCCATTAGTTCGGGTTCAATACGGTCCATTTGTTGTTCGTAGGTCAACACCAGATCGCGGGCCATACTGTGCGACCACAGCGATACAAATTGCACCTCCACCATCTCCGGAGTCTGTCATACAAGGCACACGAGTGTGAGATATAGTACATGAGAGGTTAAGCCTGCAGGGAGTATGCGCTTGCACCGATACTCGACATACTCACAAGCCCAGGGCATGAGTAATCATGAGCCTGTGTTCGCAGAGACTCGATTTAGCACAACGGAAATTGCTTGCATGTCCATACGCCTAGAAAGTCACACTAGAAATCAAACTCAACCTGATATTCGGGAATGGTTTGACCAAATATTTAACTGATAAAACAGAAATGGCGTCCATGTGTTCAGAAGGTAACACTGCAACACGAACCCATCCTGATGTTCGGGGTTTAGGTTGAACAGCTTACTGATACGCTCTCAGGCTCGAGTTTTTGAGATGTGTTGCGTAAAGGTAAGGTAAAATACATCCATTTGAGGATGGGCCATAGTACTTTCATACTCAGAATGGAATAGTTCACAAGCAAAAAACTTCCACATGTTAGTAAGGCAAAGAAGGTATATATATATCAGAAAGCAACACTACATCAACAGTCTACTTAGTGTACAGAGATGCGTTAATTTCCTGACTGACGCGATCTTAGGCCCGAGATGTGCGTGGTTTAAGTGTGTACGTAGATAACAACCGAATACATGTCGGAGTAAGTACACACATGTCCTCATAATGTTACACACATACACACTCACACACAAACAAACAAATACATTTAGACACACTCAATATATATATATATATATATAATATATATATATATATATAAATATATGTATATATATATATATTTATATACATCATATATACGTATATGTATATATACATACATACATATATATATATATATATATATATACATATATATATAATATATTTATATGAATATATATTGTGTCTATATGTATCTGCTCGTGTATCTATGTGTCTTTTTGTGTGTGTGTGTGTGTATGTGTGTGTATGTGTGTGTATGTGTGTGTTGTGTGTGTGTATGTGTGTGTGTATGTCTGTGGTTATGTATATGTACATGTAAATTGGATAG